GGGTCATCGATACATCTTAACTATGGTGGACTATGCTACACGGTATCCAGAGGCCGTTCTACTTAAAAATATAGATTAGGAGACTGTAGCCGAGACGTTGATTGACTTTTATAGCCGATTTGGGGTTCCAGAAGAAGTACTAAGTGACATGGGGACTCAGTTTGTGTCAGAATGCATGCCAGAAATATCAAGATTGCTCAGCATTAAGAGACTGACGTCTACGCCGTATCACCCATTTGTAATTGACTGGTGGAAAAGTTTAATGGTACTTTGAAGAAGATGTTAAAGCGGTTGTGCCATGAACAACCAAGGCAATGGCATCGGTATATTAGTGCTTTACTCTTCGCATATAGAGAGGTACCACAGGAGTCAACTGGTTTTTCCCCATTTGAGCTGTTATATGGTCGAACGGTTAGAGGCCCAATGAAGATCCTTAAAGAGTTATGAACCGAAGAGAGCGATACTCCTGAGATAGTTACTAGTTATCAGTATGTGTTTGAGTTGAGAGATCGGTTAGAACAGACTTTAGAGATTGCTCGAGAGGAATTACAAAAGTGTTACTATAATCTAGCTGAACTTTTGAACAGTATAGTAGAATGTTATTCGTTTATGACTATATTTCATATTTTATTATATTCTACTGTATGTGATTTTCAAATTTATGTACTCAGAGCTTTATTCAGTTCGATTTGATATATTGTATTGTTGTTTTATTTGAAATTGTTATCATACTCGTATTATTGATGTCGTTGCTATTCATGTAATATTATATGTTATAATATTCTTGAGAGGGGAGGCATGTCGCATACGGCTTATTTACCACTTCCGTGTCACCGAGAATGTTCTAGCACCGTACTGTGTCTGGGTGGAATATTCTAGATTTTTTTGGGAAAATGGTTGAATAGGTAGTAGAACACTGTAGGAGGCAATATAAGGTAGTGGAACATTCTAGAGATTTGTAGTAAGTTCCAGACTCATTATGTATCTAGTCATTGGAGTAGTGGAGTTTTACCGCGTTATTGCACTTGATGTTTGCAGAGTATAATAATACCAGTACCAGTTGAAACCTCATCTGTTGGCTCCGTGTTCGTATTTTATCATCGCCGCCAGGGAAGTCTTCTGTTACTGTTGCCATTTTGGTATTTGAACCATCACACCTGTACTATACCAATTACGGTAATATTATAAAACTTATACTAATAAACTAATATTATAATACTTATAAAACATGCATAGTTGAGTGTTTTATCTTGGAACATTACATGTGTGTTTGTTTGTTTTAGAAAGTGTTTCAAGACGAAACAATTTGTAAGAAAAGTGTTTTAGTTACACTGATGAAATTGTGTAAATGTCATATACATAAACACTTATGAAACATGCATAGTCGAGTGTTTTACCTTGAAACATTACATGTGTCTTTGTTTTAGGAAGTGCTCCATGGTAAAACAGTTTAACAATTTGGAAGAAAAGTGTTTTAGTGTTTTACTCTCATGAACACAAATATGTCTTATACATTAACACTTTGAAAACATTTATAGTTTGGTGTTTTGGGTTGAAACATCGTTGGTGATTTTGCTTTCTGAAGTGGTTCAAATTGAGCATTTTTTGAGAAAAATTACATGTGAGAATGCTCAGATGTGATTGGAACTACCGTTCACCAAATGCGGATTAGTAAAATCCGTTAGGCCACGAGGTATTTCACCACGTGTCTCGATTTCTAGTTGTACTTAGGTTGGTAAGACCATATAGGTTGGTGAGGGACATACAATTATTTTCTGGATGTATTGTCATGATCCATCGCATCATTACGTCACTTTCGGTGATTGTCTAGTTGGCATATATACCATAATGTTTACTCACGAGTCCCGAAACTTTTCACTCAATTTCGCATAAACGAGGATGCATTAGTCCTTAAATGTTCTATCAACAAACACTTTAATTACACATTTATGTCACCGTAGAACACCTAGTGTTTTGTTTCGGAAAAGTGTATTTTTGTGTGTTTATAATGTGCTTAATTTTCATCAAAAAGCGCTTTAATAACTCCATAAAACACTTTTCTAAAAATACTAAAACACTACTGTTTTGATAGAAAATACAAGTGTTTTATTATAAAGTACACATGTTTTTAATTACAACAGTGTGTTTTCAATTAAAACGGTGTGTTTTATTTGAAAACATGAAAGTGCTTCCGAAATTTACAGTGTAGTTTTACAGGAGGTTTAGTGGGGATTCCGCGCTTTTTCAAGAATACCCGAGAATATAACGGGGTCCACAGTGGGTTAAGAACAGTACATGAAGCCTGTGTACGACTCGGACACGTGAGAGTGTGTACCAGCTTTAATGCGTCAATCACGTATTAAACACGCATTGTGCGAAAATTGGTTATATGACATACGTTTACCTATCAATTTATTATGTTTACTTCTCAGATTTGGTGTTTCTACAACTAATATCAGAAAGTGTTATTCGGTCTCGGAATGACTCATACGGCACCGTTTAATATATTACGTTTACAATAAGTTATGACATCCAAGTTGAATGAGATGAAGTATGCAGCGGTAATGGGGGCGTTCATCAACACAACTGTATATAATAACACTGTGAATAATAGTACATATGACATACCAGAGAAACATCAATCTGTGCTGTCCATGTATCAGGTATGTGAAATTGAAATTAACTCAGCTAGGTAATATCTTGATCAGAGCTGACATGGATAGCCAATACTGAACAAATTAATATAAAAAATATATTGTCCAGCCAGAGCAGACAAATCAAAATAGCCTGGATAGGAGAAGCACCATTGGTAATTGATAGTGAGTTCATGCAGTTTAATACACCACGTTTACGAACATGAGAGAACATACTATTATATTCATTTGATTATGATCTTCTCTCGCCTAATAAAGCGAACAATTTAATTAAAAATAAACAAACATTTTGTATATAATATATGTATACGTTCAGCTAATGTTATTTAAATGTTCTTAACATTAAAGAAAGGTACACTTTTATACAAATAAAAGAAACATAAAATCTTATAACATTATGTAAAATAATGACTTCATTCAATGACGACAAACGGAATGATAAAACTGTACCCTCACGTTTTATTTACCAGAAATGTATTATATAATGATTATGAAAAAAACGTCATAAGCTGTTTATTTTATATAATAATTCAAACATATCATGCAATATGTATTTTTCTTTCCAGACGGAACAGCTTATTTTACTTTGGTTTCTCTTCGCATTTGTTGTTATTGGAAATGCTATTGTTTTAGTTTCTGTTTGCTTAGTGAGGCACAAGAAGTCTAGAATGAACTTTTTCATCATGAACCTCGCCATCGCAGGTTAGTGTTAAATACAACGACGCAAACTACAATATAATTATAATGTTGTGACGAAAATATACGGACTTCGTTTTGTAGCGGCAAATCCTCGTATGCACCAATCAGCTTTAAGTTTACTCCGGATCTATGTAATATTTGATTCATAGTTATAGTGTGTTATTTTTATTTCGTATACAAACATATTGTCATGCTGCCTACATCTTATTTTGCAGACTTGTCCGTCGGATTGTTGAACATTCTACCAGATATTATACACAGATACACTCGCGAATTTTATGGTGGTGAGATTGTATGTAAACTGGTGAAGTATGTTCAGGTAATATAGTGAAACAAACTTGTAGAGTGATATCAATAACTGTCCCGCTTAGATACAATAAGTTGTATAATGCATGGGTTGAAACTTGATATACATAAATTAATTATATTATTATGAAACGTGTGATCCCGTTGACCCTTGACGACTCGTTAAATAAAAAAAATAGTTCTCTGGTGGTCTGAATCATCTGTTATTATTACGGACGCTAACAACTTGATCACTGTGTGTTTCAATGCTGTTTACAACTGTTTATGTTTAAACTTATAATCAATATTCACCCAGATATTTCATAAATTAGATTCATAAGTATATCAAACCTGTATATCGACGAGTTTTTACACGACAACTTTGCAAAATGCGCGTTCTTGATATTATGACTCCTTTTACAGTGTAAGGCCTGCTTATGGATGCTGAGAGGGGCACCCACAGAACTGTACAGTACAAATAGTACTGGAAATGAAGTACACACACACCAACATATCAAGTTAAAGTTCCTGGCTTCAATACTTCTCAAAATAATGATAATAGACAAAGCACATAATAATAGAATGAATAAATTGTCTAAGTGTGCATGGTGATAACTCATAATTCCAGGATGTGGAAATTTATAACAGTCAATGGATTCTTGCAACACAACAACGAAGAGGTACATGATTTCTGCTTGCAGAGGATCGCAATACACAGTTGAAATAATGGAGCATAACTGTCCTAAATCTAAATAACCTCAAAATTCTAGCACTATAAGCTTTGTATCCACTAACAGTACGGTCATTATGTTCGTATAATGATAGAAGTCATTTTATTACACAAAAAGTAATTACAAACGATTCAACTAACTCCCATCATTCAACTAATCAACCCCAAACATGCAACTAACCAACCAACCAACTAACTTACCAGCCTGACGAACCGTACACAGACACAGCAGAAAAATGCCCCAGATGCAATATGGCCACATTGTTCCCTGTAGGTATATCTTTTTACAAAATAAACCAGTCTATGACACCGTAAAACCAGGCCACATAATACCAACCAGGCGAAATGTGCATAAATAATTTTGGTTCAGATACTGAAAAATGTTTCCTTTTAGTTAAAATTAATGTCCATTTTAACACTTACCAGAATCACATTAATGAATAAGTCATGTATTGTGTTGTCAAGCAAAGACATTCTGATCTCTGGCAGCTGATGTAGTGTACGCAACCAATCCACATCTCTTCGATTCACTAGAAAGTGAGAACAAATGAATACCACCATTGAAATCAGATCCACAAAAAATTCTACAGCCAGACTTAAAGACCATAGCTGAGCTACAAAGCAAAGATGGAACAAGTTGTTGCAACATAATACAATCCAAAATTGTAAATGGGCCTCAATTTGAATATATTATGAACACACCAATGAATGCCGTTTTTAGCCGTTAAGAAAACGGTCATGTACCTTACACCCACTTAATGCAATACGTACTTACCACACCCTCAACGGCAATGTTCTAAAAGCGACTTGATGTGGGACATACACTTGATGCGTGAGGTCCACGTTGACCTGATGGGAATCTCACGATTGCAAGATATTACGATAAATTTATCGAGAGCGATGTAGCTCAAAACGGCTTATTGTAATCGAAGAAACGAAACGAAACAAAACGGGCCAGTATATTCACCTTTCAGTCGTGTACATAACTACATAAAATATTTGCCGAAAATAACGAGATTTTAATTACTAAACGTTTCGTTCCGCTTAGACAGATAATCGGAAATGATAGAAACAAGTGTTCTACACGTATATTACTGCCAAAAAAGGCAGCTGAGACTTTCAGTTCAGTTAGATTTCGAGAATAAAAAACAAAATAAACGCAGTCAAAGGCGCCGACCACGCGCATTTATATTTAATACCGTTTGACTAAGTACGGAAGCTCATTAGGGACATGACAAAAAATATTTAATCTCGAAATTTTGACTTTCAGTCTCGAATGTTTGACTTTCAATCTCGAAATTTTGACTTTCAATCTCGAAATTTTGACTTTCAATCTCAACATTTTGACTTTCAATCTCGAAATTTTGACTTTTAATCTTGACTTTCATAATGCTGAAATTTCTACTTTTAACGATTGAACGTTACGAATTGCATAATCCAATGATAACTGCACTCAAATAGACATTAAAGGTTAGATTTGTTGTTCATTTTATTGAATATTGAACACTCCCAATTAAGTGTGTTCTACATCAGCGTACTCCCCTTTTCTATAAGCCAAAGTGGTCCACAAGTGACAACATATATTTAATTCATCGCGGCAAAACTCTATTATTTCACGGCAAAACACTATAACTTCACGGCAAAACTTTATTATTTATTGGTAAAAGTTTATTATTTGACGGCAAAACTCCACAATTTGACGGTAAATCTTTAATTAGTTGCGGCAAAACTCTATCACTTGTAGCGGCAAAACTCTCCGCGTCACGGCAAAACTCTCCATTTCCCACAGCGGAAGTCATTTTTCAATCAAACCTCAGACAACTAATACATTTATTAGATGTCTGAGATCAAACGCAAAACTGTTCAATGTCGACTAAGTTTAGTAACTGTGATCAGCACCGCTGTCTGCTGCAAATTCGTATGCATTATGATAGGAATGCCGCGTTTTGTGTTAATAACCAATACATCTGGGGATGCTATCGAAGTACCGACTGAGCAAATTCGTATATGATCGTGATCTAGGATTAATGGGAATATAATAAAGTAGGTTTCCTACTATAATAAAATATCATCGAATTTATAGCACCAAGCACTCCACGCAGTAAAATAAAGTTCAACGCTTTAATTAAAACTAACACTACTTTTGTAGTCGGTAGAAACCCAGTGTGCGTCCAAGTAAAGGACTATCCGTTTCTAGTTTGCTCAAAAATATGATAATTATCTTCACAAGAACGGAGGCTGGGGAGAGAAATATATATCAGCGCTGTACTATGTTGGTAAGGATATATGTTAAAATCAGTACTCGCGAAGTCAAGTCGGAGTAATAGATAGTAACATCAAAAAATTACGAGAAGAATAAGAAAAGTTCAAACAAGGGTTTCTATCAGATTGGGCTTCACTAGCTTCACTAGCTTTGGTCGTTGAGACATTCCGCTGGTTCCTGGAATCCTCAATAATTTTGAAATTCGTTGCCTCTTGTATGTAATTTCTAAATGTCACGTAAACTTGTTGATTATTTTGTTATTGCTATTCAATGAACTGGCTGTATACGATCACCATACATTCATGTTAACCCAAATTAAATACCCAATTACCCTATCCTAGTCGTGTTTGCGAAGATTTAGTTTACATTGACAGTTTCGTCTTAGTACTGCGCGATTACAGGTATATACAATTAAACCAGTCGGAAATGGATTTTAAAAAGGTTATATTCAATTAATCAAAAATGATTGGTTTTATGCCATTAAATATGTATTTGTGATATTATTACTAATTATTAGTGAACGATCAAATAATTAACATGGTAAATTGAAAATAGTACACAAAATGACTTCCAAAATCTCAATGTAAATATATAATATCTAACATGTTCTTAATCTCAATATTATATTTTTATAGAAGAACCTTCCCAAATAAAAGAAATTCTTATATTTGAAAAAAATAAGTGTTATTAACTAAACCATGTACTTTCACACTCAAGCAAGAGAAAGGACACGTTAGACATGTTAATGAATTAGCCCTGCACTCTGAGTGTTTTACTGTTTGCAGTCTTAAAAACATATTTTTTTTCACAATCGTCTAGTTGATAGTATGTGAACCTTTTCGGTTCACTGTCAATCTGTCATTTGAGAAAAGAAACGGAGCAATGATATGCAAAAATGCCATTTTAGTAGCGGTTTCCATAGATCACAATGAAAACACATCTTCTCGTTAAAAACAAACAAAAATATGTTAGTATTTAAATATTTCTAGACACCAAAAAATACCTAGTAAGCATTATATATATATATATATATATATATATATATATATATATATATATATATATATATATATATATATATATATATATATATATTTTCATCACATGTCATCAAGTATATTTTTTTTAGATATACCCTTGCCATGGGAAACAGTGATAAAATGTCATAAACCAGGCAAAACTTACTCGGCAGCGTCAGATCAGAACATTGTATTACCAGCATCGAAATAAATCGGAATTTTAGGAATATTTTCATTTCGAATTTTCGTTGATTCGGTGGATCCAATGTTCATTTCTTGATGAAATGAAATCAATTACTACATTTTATTATTACACATTACCTGTCCATGTAACTCCCCGTATAGCTCGCCTGTGGCTCTGATGAATACGGCCGCTATACAATGAGTCGCTCGTTCGCGATAATGTCACACTGGTTCGAATTACCAATGAATTATATATAGATTTATACAATTATATATACCCTTCAGTATATGTAAAAATCCCCACTCTATTTGCGTCCGTATATCGAACCACACAAACTCACCGACAGAAAAAATCAAAATGCAAAATGTTGAAAGTTCTTGTATGGAAAACTACAATGATATGTGACTCGCGGCGCGAGCAATTGACAAGATCGCATTCTTACGATATGAATACGTAAACAAACACAACGCTTTCGGCAGTTGACTATATGATAAAAGAGAAGATATCTCCTTGTATAGTAATGTTGTTCCGGAACTGTTGTGCCAGGTTGTTTCACCTCTTACTGGTGCAGTTATTGCCGCTGAGGATTTTGACAAGTGAACTCTAAATTCGGGTGTCAAAAAATATTATTTGTAAGCTTCGGGGTATATGAGATTTGTCTCCCGGGTGTAGGAATTATTTACCTCTCTTGCGCTTCGACGAATATTTGTCACATGTGGGAGAAAAATCTTGATAGACACGTGACCTCAGTTGCAGTTAATTAATAATTATTTATTTATTGTTAAACCTCATTCCCGCGCACGTCACGTTGATTGGTCGAAAGGCGGTCTCGGGCGAA